CGGCCCGGGCCCTTCCCGGGGCGCAGCGTGCCCGTGCTACGGGAGCCACGGGGGGCGAGGGGGTGTCCCACCGTGCCCGTAGCCCTGCCCCTCCCCTCCGACAGCAGCACCCCTCGCCCCGCCGCAGGGCTCGGTGCGCTCGCCCCTCCCGCCCGCCCGTCAGCCATCTTGCAGCCACCTGGCCAGGCGGCACACGCGTGGAACAGCGGGACTAGGCAAATAGGGGGCGAAAAATAATAAATCTGCCGTTCCCTTCAAAATAAAGACCCTTCAAAATAAAGATCCAGCCAGTTGTGGTCGGTTGGGTCACCGTGCTGGGCCACCCGCTGCCCTGCTGGAAAGCCTGCAGGCCATGGGCAGACATTGCTTTTGGGTTTAATAGGCTTTGTCGTGGTTTCCTCACACAAAAACATGCACGAGACTGTTTCAGTGGGCTTTGGAAAGTAATCCAGGAGGCGAGGAGGACAGCAGTAGCCAGCCACATCTCTCTGCCTCTGCAGATGATGCCCATGGGTTTGACTCCACCAAGGCAAGAGGCAAAGGTCTCCAGGGGAACACATCTGCCCGAGCATCCCCCACCGCTGGCATGTGCTGGGCACCAGGCTATAACAGACCCAGTGAGCGTGGGGCTGCCAGCTCTGCGCCAAAGGCTCGGGGGAGCCGGCAGAGCACGAGCACACAGCCTGCGCAACGGCTCGGGGATCATTGGAGAAGAGCAGCTGCAAGGATGGTGGAGTGTGTCAGGCTAACGAGATTGTGTACACGGGAGAAGCGACAGTTATGTGGAGTCATGATGGACAGCCCAGAAACATCAGAGTTGTGCTCGCACCTGAAAGCGAGAGGAGCTTGTTGGCACAGTCAGGGACCTGTAACCCAAGGGGAGAAGAAGATGTAAACCAGAGGTCAGTGAAGCATCAAAAGCCCCTGCTGATGAGTTGGATGTAGGTGAACAAGGGAGCGGCTTGTGCACTTTTCAACCTGGGCTGGGCAAAGCATGAGAAGATACAGCACAGGAGGTGACAGAGCTCACTCCAGAAAGGTGGTGCCTGACCAAGGATGGAAACAGAGCCATTTTTTTGGTGTGTATTGGATAGGCATGTGGACTGCTGGCATAGTCTGTCTAACCCTGCAGCCATGTCTTCACTGCGTCCTTGGGAAACCACTGGTGGGCACTGACATGGGGCTCCCCCAGGTTGGAGAACAGGGAAACAGAGCATGGAGGAGCTGCAGTCATCCCTTCCCAACTCCTTCCCACCCCTTCCTTGCTGGTGGCAGGTCCCCACTCTGCCCTGTTTTGCAAAGGCTTTGGTCGGTTTACTGCGCTATACCAACCCAGACAAAAGCTGACCTGAACTCGGCTTGGATTGAGGGGGATAATTTTTACCATTTATCATAACATGCCATCCCATAGATGTGCTGGTAGGAGAGTACCATACCCCGGCAAAGAAGAGGTTAATGCTGTCCAGCTTTGTGCTGAGTTTTAAGGGGACTGCAATCACCCATTTTTATTTTTGGTTCTGCTGCATAAAAACAACTGCTCTTTGCAACCTGGGTGGCACAAGGGACCCGTTTTTTTCCGTCAGTCTTTAAGAGAGGAGATAAAAAAAAGCAGAGGAAGAAAGTTCGCATTCAGCGAGTGCCAGGTTGTCAAGGTTTCCTCTTCTCTCAGACATAAATTTTTTCTTCTGGCAGACACAAGAGATTTAAAGCCATTGGGTACAAAGTGGAGCTTCAAAAGCAGCAAGGTCTGCGGCTGTTTCAAGGTGAAGAGCAGAGCTCAGGACCTCCTGCGTGAGGCAACATCGTCATCATGTCACACATGGTATTATACCAGGTTTGTGCTTGGCTTGTCACAAAGCTCCCTCTGCATGAGTCTCAAAATCCTGCGCTGCTTCCAGCCCAGCTGCTAGAGAGGCCGTGGGCTGATTTAGCCCTGCCAAGGACGTGGGTCAAGTTCAGTCTGTTGGCAAAGAAAGAGGCTTTCACAAGGTCGCGTTTTTCAGCTTCCTATCCCATTTGCATTGCTTTCTGTTTTCATAAATTGTGGACTGCTGGTGAAATCCCCAAGCGCCTGATGAGTGTGGGTATTAAAGCAATGCTTTAAAAAGCCAAACGGGGTGAATTTGGTCACTGCTCCCTTGGCCTGGTGGCCCTCGTGGACGTGATTATCAGAGTGCTGGTAGACAATTTAACTGATCAAGATTGAAGAGGCAGTAACATATAATTAGCACCGGTCAACATCGTTTTCTGGAAAAATCAATCTCAGCCGAGTCTGATCTCGTTCCCCATTGGGACTGCAGGATGGGTTGCCAAAGGTAACAGCACAGAGGTGATGGAGGAGGCATCCAGCATCCAACTGCTGAGAGTACAGCCAAACAGTATTAATAAAATGAACAGATTCACAGCTGGTTGTCAGCTTGGATGCCAGGAATCACCCAGAAACCACTGACCCAGCAGGTCTGGTGTCATCTTCTGTGCAGACACTTGACATTACAGAAGTGAGAGGGGATGTGGTTGCAGCTGGAAAGTGAAGGGAGTCCAGAAAAAGGACAGCTCTACCCCAAGCTCAGTTTTGTTGTCCCCCAAGAGAGAGCTTAAGGCTGCAAGACCACTCAGGTGAACCAGCATACATGGTCTGTCTGTCCCCTCTGGCCATTGCTCCTCGGTAGGAGGCTGCAGACATCTTCTTAGTAGCTATTTGATTCAAATTCCTGACAAAGCAGAAGGAAAATCCCTGATGCTCAGGGCACACGGGTGTTCCTCAGTTCCCACCAGCAAACTCTTCAGCCACTTTTCTCCAGCAAAAGTAAGGAAATCAAGGCTCAGCAATGTTAAGTCTCTGAAGAAAAAACAAGCAAAAAGCTTTCAGGTTTCCATCATTGATCATCAAGAAGCCAAAAAAAGGCATAAAAGTTGAATTTTCCTCCCTTTGTAAGTGACTTTTAGAGCCACAGGGTTGACCCTGGAGTGCTAATGAGTAATGTGTCATGATATGGCTTGCAAAATGGCCCAGCTCCTGCAACACGCCCTGCAGGGCTGGCCATCTCCAGTAAGCACCAGCACCTCGCTGAGCCCAGCACCCGTGGGGCTCTGACACCCAGCCACCGTTCCTGCCCGCCCATCCACGTCTCGTCCCACGGCAGCCGTGCCCTGTGTCTCCTCTGGCGGCCGACGCAGACTCCCACGCTCAGCACAGAGAGCACAAGGGAAAGCAATCTCCTGCCCTGCACGCTTATCTCCCAGATAAAAGAGCAAGGCACTTTTGTTTATTGAGTGCCGATGAATGGCGCTGTCTTGGCTGCGAGATCAGCCTCCAGATCCCACTCCGGACAGAGCTGCTGGCAGGGAGCCCACAGCTGGAGCTGCCTATTGCTACAGGAGCTTTTCAGCAGGGCCTAACCCCTCCTCCCAGGGAGAAATTGCCCCACAGCATCCTGCCATCCACATCTCTCCCCATGCAGAAGCGGTGTCCGATTTATGGGGCGTTGCAGGGTAGGGAGCATCACTCTTTTCTTGGGGTGTGCAGCCAAACAATGCCAAAAGGTACTGTTTGCTCTGGGATGGCACAAAACTGGGAGGAGTGGCTGACACACCAGAAGGCTGTGCCACCATACAGTGGGACCTGGACAGGCTAGAGAGATGGGCAGAGAGGAACCTAATGATTCAACAAGGGCAAGTGTAGGGTCCTGCACCTGGGGAGGAATAACCCCATGCACTGGTACAGGTTAGGGGCTGGCCTACTGGAAAGCAGCTCTGTAGAGAGGGTCCTGGGAGTCCTGGTGGATGACAAGTTGACCATGAAGGACCAATGTGCCCTTGTAGCCAAGAAGGCCAATGGTCTGGGGTGCATTAAAAAGAGCATGATCAACAGGTCAAGGGAGGTCATCCTTGCCCTCTACTCTCCCTGGGGACCTGGACAGGCTAGAGAGATGGGCAGAGAGGAACCTAATGATTCAACAAGGGCAAGTGTAGGGTCCTGCACCTGGGGAGGAATAACCCCATGCACTGGTACAGGTTAGGGGCTGGCCTACTGGAAAGCAGCTCTGTAGAGAGGGTCCTGGGAGTCCTGGTGGATGACAAGTTGACCATGAAGGACCAATGTGCCCTTGTAGCCAAGAAGGCCAATGGTCTGGGGTGCATTAAAAAGAGCATGATCAACAGGTCAAGGGAGGTCATCCTTGCCCTCTACTCTCCTTGGGTGAGGCCACATCTGGACTACTGTGTCCAGTTCTGGGCTCCCCAGTTCAAGAAAGACAAGGAACTACTGGAGAGAGTCCAGCAGAAGATGATCAAGAGACTGTGAAGATGATCAAGGGACTAAAGCACCTCTCACGTGAGGAAAGGCTGAGAGACCTGGCTCTGTTTAGCCTGAAAAGGAGGAAAAAATTTACTCTGAGGGTGCCAGAGCACTGGAACATGCTGCCCAGAGAGGTTGTGGAGACTCCTTCTGTGGAGATATTCAAAACCCCCCTGTATGCAATCCTGTGCAATGAGCTCTGGATAAACCTGCTTTGGCAGGGGGTTGGACTAGATGATCTCTGAAGGTCCCTTCCAACCCCTACCGTTCTGTGATTCTGTGATTTTACAGTGTTCCCCACTCTCCACAGCTCATTCATTCATCTGCCCTTCCAGCGCTGGCGAACAACCAAGGGAAATCTGCAGCTGTGTTAACCCGCTTTGCTCTTTCCTGAGGGCAGAAAGGTGAGGTGGCTCCATGCTGCCAGGCTGGAAGGTGAAGTGGACGCCGAGGACAATGCCATCCTGCCGTGCATGAAAATGAAATAGCCTGACCCACGGGGATAGTCAAGGCTTCCCGAGCTCACTGCTCGCCAAGAGCTGCTGCCAGCTCCTTCAGGGCCATGTTATTTTGGGACCCCAAAAAGCTGATGGATCCATTTGTGACTGCCTCTGCCTTCCAGCCATCTTAGATGCACAGCAGTTGTCACAAAAGCCTGTTTAAGCCTGTTTAAGCAGCAGGATCTTCTTTTCC